GAGAGAGAGAGAGAGAGAGAGAGAGAGAGAGAGAGAGAGAGAGAGAGAGAGAGAGAGAGAGAGAGAGACAGACAGACAGACAGAGAGAGACAGAGAGAGACAGAGAGAGTTAAAACCGACGTGGACAAAGGAAATTCGACAAAGCATTGCCATGGACCCAACGAATGCTGACGAAATGTGATTTCTGCCCCGTGCTCTAAATATCGAAGTGAAGAGAATCAACCAATTGCGGGTAAACGACGAGAGTAACTACAACTCTCTTTAGTTCGCCAAATGCCTAGTCATCTAATTAGTGACGTGCATGAATCGATTAACGAGACTCCCACTGGTAAACAGTGGGAGTGACTATGACTCTCTTAAGTTCGCCAAATGCCTCGTCATCTAATTAGTGACGTGCATGAATGGATTAACAAGACTCCCACTATTCCACAGATGCTGACGAAATGCGATTTCTGCCCAGCGCTTTGAATCTCCAAAGTGAAGAGATTCAACCAAGTGCGGGTAAACCGCAGGAGTACCTACGACTCTCTTAAGGTAGCTGAATGATTCGTCATCTAATTACTGACGTGCGTGAATGAATTAACAACATTCCCACTGCCTCTCTCTCTCTCTCTCTCTCTCTCTCTCTCTCTCCCACCCCTCCTTTCTTTGAATATCAAAGTGAAGAGATTCAACCAAGCGCGGATAAACGGCGAGAGTACTCTCTCAAGGTAGCCAAATGCTCCGTCATCTAATCAGCGACGCGCATGAATGGATTAACGAGATTCCAGCTCTCTCTCTCTCTCTCTCTCTCTCTCTCTCTCTCTCTCTCTCTCTCTCTCTCTCTCTCTCACACACACACACACACACACACACACACTCTCTATCTCCCTATTGGTTGGCCCCCCCCTTCGATTGATCAATCAATCAATCATGTCTCTCTCTCTCTCTCGCAGTCAATCAATAATCAATCAATCAATCAATGATTGTTGCATCTCTCTCTCTCTCTCTCTCTCTCTCTCTCTCTCGATCACTCACTCGATCAATCGGTCGATCGATCATTGCTGTGTCTCTGTTCTCTCTCTGCCCGCCAGAATGCCCACAGCATAGCTGCGGGGGGTCCACTTGTTTTTTTAACAACCCTAAGTTGGCAAAGCTATTTCCGGTTGGTGCTGCCAGCCATAGTGTTCCGCTGGCCCCGAGACTCTCAGATTTTAAAAGTAAGTGAAGATTTTAAAAGTAAGTGATGAAAAAATCTTGCAAGGCTGGGGCTGTCTACTGGCAGTGTAACTGTTTTTTTCCCTTTACCCTATAGTGGCCTTCCACCTTCACTACCCGCCCAGGCCCGAAGTGACATGGCCTTACCCCGTAAACTGGTACAAACAGGACTCAGTTTATGGGCCAGACTTAGCTGCGGACGAACTGGTGTTTTAATCTGAAACTTGGCTAGACTTAGCTGCGGACGAACTGGTGTTTTAATCTGAAACTTCCACACACTTGGAGACCACGTAAAATGCACACACATGTTTTTCTTTTCTTCACCACCAGTACCTCCGAGCCTCTTTTCCCCGAGGCAGAAAAGAACTGCATGCCAAGCTTTACCAAAGCACCAGCACAACTTTTTTTGTCACTTTTTGACTGATGGCGCCGGCCTTTTGGCCTGATATCACTGTTCACCCCAAGAATGGGGAATGCTTCATTTGGGTGTTTCTAGTTTGCCTGTGAAAGGTGGTGGTGGTTTAATATTGGCTGGAATCTGGATCCAGCATACCTTACAAAAGACCCACTCCACACTCCCTTCCATTATGGTTGAAGGACCCTGAGACAGCGCATATTTCCCATGTGGGCTGGGGTGTGCCGTGGTATCATTTCGCTGAAAAACCATCCAGGCTAATAGGGCCTTGCATGAGACCCGTTTTGCCTGGATGGATGCGCAACGAAACAGCACCCCAGCACATTCCGCCTGACACGGCTGTGTGCACGGTGCAACTTAGAAATTTGGCTGCGAAATGTACAGGTGGTTGTTTAAACCACCAGTACTTCCTAAAGTTGTGCCCGTTAACACGCCACGATTTTAAGAAATGTACGGGCCACTACAGGAGTGCCCAAATTCATCCAACTAGAAACGTTTCTACTCTATTTTTTCCCGTGGCCGATAGCTGGGCCAAGTACTGGGGGTTTAACAATCCAAGTGATCTAAAAGAGGAAAAAAACCCATCAGCGACGGCCTTGAGATATATCATCATTGAATTTTGAATTGACTGGCCCCAGGGTATTCAGAATGACTTTATTCTGTTGGTGGCCACATATAACAGTGTGATGGCACAGCCGCTGGGACGGTTTTGGACTGACTGCAGGCCATTGAAGCTGAAGCTGGTGATGGCTCTAGGCATGCGGTGCAGAGTTTTGTTTTTTTTGCGATTTTCTACTGCAGAAGTACAAGACTCGCGCTAGGACGTTTTGGACTCAGCTGTGGATGTGATTGTGGTCAGATGCATCCAGTTCTGGACGTAATTGCAGTCAAATACATTTACGGAAATGTTCGTGCCATTATGGCCTGAGAGATCTGGTTTGCGAGTAAATCCAACCCACTCCAGTTGTCCTCTGTTCCCACTTGCAGTTGTTTTCGGAACCCCCGGCTGCTTCTGCTTTGTCAGGGAAGGGGGTGAGAAGTGGGTCGGCAGGGCACCTTCTCCTCTTCCTTTTCTTTTTTCTCAAAACAACAGGTCCCTGGCGCCATTTCCATTATGGCAAGCATCATCTACCACCGGGGAACAGATAGGGCCGGCCAGCCCCTCATATCCTATCTGTTCCTCATGAGCCAAGCTGGAACCCCCTTTCCTACCCATTTGCATCCCTTGCCTACCAAGCAACGCCTCGTCCTATTTTCCTCCCCTCCTCGTCCTCTCGTCCTCGTCCTCGTGCTCGTCCTCGTCCTCATCCTTGTGCTTGTGCTCATCCTCATTCTCGTCCTCGTCCTCGGCCTCGCCCTCACCCTCGTCCTCGTCCTCCTGCTAATACCACCACTGTCACCATCAACATTACCACCACTGTCACCATCAACATTACCACCACCAACGCTTCGGACTCAACCTCTCCTGTCCTATTTTCCTCCCCTCCCCATTCTCGTTCTCGTTCCTCATATCCTATCTGTTCTTCATGAGCCAATATTTCCTACCCATTCGCATCCCTTGCCAACCAAGCAAGACCCCTTTGGACTCGACCTCTCCTGTCCTTTTTTCCTCCCCTCCTCGTTCTCGTTCTCGTTCTCCTGCTGATACAACCACTGTCACCATCAACATTACCTCCACCGCCGCCAGTCACCTCTCTATCCCCACCCCCCACCCCTCATCACTCTTCTTCTCCTTTCGCCTTCTTTAAGAATAACTGTGCGCTTTCTATCAGGGGTCATTGCCCCAAATAGAAAGAATCAATGCATATTGCTAAAGCAGCTTGCCGGGAAGAACGCACTCTGAAAAGCACATACACGCAATTTTGACCAACCTTACGAATGACGCTTGGCGACCCCAGGCGAGATTGAAGCTCGTTGACGTATTATCCGAAAGGTACACCATTTGTACGCCCATTATGGAAACCGCTCCCATCCATCCATTGACGGACGGCGGAGTAGAGACAGCATGGAGAATCGTTTGGCGATTCAGGCAGCGCATGTGGGAGTGCGAGAAAACGTTGCAACATATGTCTGGTGCTCATGATAGAAATCCCTCCAAGGAGAACCACAATGAACAACACACAACATGGGTTGAGTGCAACATATCTGACACAGTGAGCAGTCTCTGAGCATGACCTGCTCAGCACATGGTCGAAGGAGCCACAACTGCACATCCATTATTATCTTCTGACTGTGGGAAGGGGGTCGAGAAGTGGGACACAGGGACGACAGAACATATAGCTATGTGGTTAAGTGGGTGAATGAAATAAGAAAACAGAAAAGCGTCACGAGCAAAGATGAAAACAAGAAAGAAAGGAAATTGAAGAGAGAAGTTGAGATAAGCTGAGAAAGAGTTGGAATGAGTTCGCTGTTGCAAAAAAATACGACTCATAAATGCTCAGAGAGCGCTGCATGAACAAAATCGATTGACCACCTGCCGCCATCCTCCAGCACTACCGAACATTTGAATTTTGAAGTCAACCAATCATCTACAAGTTCGATCACTCATCACTCAGTTAGGATAAGATTTACACACACGAGAAGAACTTCAACGTCATCCTTAACTGGGGACTTGCCACTCGAAAGATTTACACAGTCAGGAGGCTAGGCAGGCAGGTAGCCAGACAACACAACAAGGCGGCTCCAGTACCAAATTCTGGAAGTTCCGGACAGAAAAAGGGAATTCCCTCCCCCGGGTCCCCCCCCCCATTGCAATTGTTTGCCGCATGATTGATAAGGCTCTATAAAAAGTTAATGACTTCCCTGGGAAGTATATTCCTATCACCAGCCGGAGCGAGAAGTGACGACTTCACGAGGCAAGTCGGCAGGAGGACCGGAGTGCACTTCACTATATTATTGGCATATACACCCGAGGTCACACCTCTTCCTCCTCCTCCTCGTCCTCATTTATGAACAGTCAGGACTCATCCATTGTGATGCGTAAGCTGGACAAGTCTTTGTCCAGCTAAACAATTCACTTCTCACAGAAATTGCTATAAGTCAGCAAGACATCGAAAGAACTTTCTGAGAGGACACAGGATGAGAAAGGGGAGGGCAAAGGTGCGTGCGTGCGTGAGAGAGAGAGAGAGAGAGAGAGAGAGAGAGAGAGAGAGAGAGAGAGAGAGAGAGAGAGAGAGAGAGAGAGAGAGAGAG